GCAAACATTTCCAGTCCTCTTTGGCTCAGGAAGCCAATATAAAAAGGCAATACTCTGGGTATTGGCACTGCCTCAATGTATTACTGAGACTTCTGGTGTCTTCTATGAAGATCTATGAAACAATGGCCAGTACAATTACCTTGTAAGTAATCTTTCAGACCCTACATAGCTCTTGAGACATATTTTTCGTTGTTGTGTGGTTTTTAAATTGTTTATTTATTTTAATGAAATTTACAGAGACTTTGGATTTCCATTCATTCATTGTTGCATACTTTCCTCCCTGCCCACCCCTCCCCCAGTTTGCTTTTTCTTTGAAAAGTTTAAAAAAAAAAAAGATCTTTCATTGTTATACAATCCCCCCGCCTCCTAGTCCACTTGATTATGCAGCTTTCATTCTGGACTCTTGTCATGACAGTAATACCTAAACACAGGTTATACACATGGATTTACCTAAAGGTATGCATAGGAATCAGATTGATTACATCTGTGGAAAAAACTGCTGGAAAAGCTCAATATCAGCTGTGAAAACTAGGCCAAGTGCTGATTGTGGAACAGACATCAACTACTCATATGCAAGTTCAAGCTGAAGCTAAGGAAAATTAAATAAAATCCATGGGAACCAAAATATGACCTTGAGTCTATCCCACCTGAATTTCAAATCCATCTCAGGAACAGGTTTGAGGCCTTGAACACCAGTGAGCGAAGACCGGATGAGCTGTGGGAGGATATCAGGAGTATTACCCAGGAAGAGGGCAAAAGGTCATTACAAAGACAGAGAAGGAGGAAAAGACCAAAATAGATGTCAGAAGAGACTCTGAATATTGCACTAGAGCACTGAGAAGCCAAAGCACAGGGAAGAATTCAAAATATTAAAGAGTTGAATAGAAGATTTCAAAAGGCAGCACGGGATGACAAAGCAAAATATTACAATGAAATGTGCAAGGAGCTGGAGTCAGAAAATCAAAAGGGCCAAACTTGCTCAGCATTTCTTAAGTTCAAGGAACTGAGGAACAAATTCAAACCTCGAGTTGCAATACTTAAGGATGTTTTGGAAAAAAAATTTAAAAAAAAAAGAAAAACAAAAAAAAAAAGGATGTTTTGGGCAGAATATTAAATGATCCAGGAAGTATTAAAAGAAGATAGAGTCTACAGTTGTTGTACTGAAAGGAATTGGCACACAGAGAAGAATTTCATAAAACAACATATGAGCAAGAGCCTATGGTGATGAAGGAAGAAGTTCAAGCCGCTTTGAAGGAATTGACAAAAAAAATAGGGTGCCAGGAATTGATGGTACACAGACTGATATATTTCTGCTTAGTGAGCAGATGTGCTCACTAAGTTGTGTCAAGAAATCTGGAGGACAACCACTTGGCCAACTGACTGGAAGATATCTATATTTGTTCCCATTACAAAGAAAGGTGACCCAATACAGTGTGGAAATTATTTAACACTATCATTGATATCACATGCAAGCAAGATTCTGCTGAAGATTATCCAAAAATGACTGGAACAGCATATCAGCAGAGAACTAACAGAAGTGTAGGCTGGCTTTAGTAGGGGTCATGTTACTAGGGATATTGTAGCTAATGTTAGATGGATCTTGGCCGAAAGCAGGGCGTACTAGAGAAATGTCTATCTATGTCATAACGATTATGCAAAGACATCTGACTGTGTGGATCATAACAAACTGTGACTGACTCTGAGAAGAATAGGAATCCCAAAACACTTGATCATGCTAATGCGAAACCTATACTTGGACCAAGAGGCAGTTTCAGAAACACTGAATGGTTCAAAACTGGGAAGGATGTATGCCAGGGATACATCCTATCTTCGTACCTTTTCGACCTATATGCAGAACAGATTATCTGGGAGGTGGGGCTGTGTGAGGAGAAGTGTGGCATCAGGATTGGTGGAAGACTCATCAACAGTCTGTGTTAAGCAGATGACACAACCCTGCTTACTGAACTAAGGAGGACCTTAAACACTAGCCGCAGAAGGTCAAGAATTGCAGCCTTCAATATGTATTGAAGCTCAGTATCAAGAAGACAAAGATTCTCACCACTGGGCCAATTGGCAGCATCAGGACAGATGGTGAAGAGATTGAGACTGTTAACAGCTTTAGTTTGCATGGCTCCACAATCAACACTCTTGACACCAGTAGCCAGGAAATTAAAAGACATATTGAGATGGGAAAGCCTGCTGTTAGGGGCCTCTCCAAAATACTGAAGAGCAAGGGTGTCACTCTGGAGACTAAGGTGCACCTAATACAGGCCATGGTCTTTGCAATCACCTGCTATGTGTCAGAGAGCTGGACAATGACTAGGGAAGATAGAAGGAGAATTGATGCCTTTGAGCTGTGGTGTTGGAAGATTATTGAATATACCATGGACTGCCAAGAAAACAAACAGATTCATCCTGGAGAGGGTTAAACCAGGCTGCTCCTTGGAGTCAAGGATTCTGAAGCTTCGTCTGACATACTTTGGACATGGTCATGTTGCAAGGAGGGACCAGTTCTTGGAGAAGCACGTCATGCTTGGGAGGGTGGAGACACAGTGCAGGAGAGAAAGACCCTCTATGAGGTGGATTGATTCAGTGACTGGGGTAGTGGGGGTAGGTGTGTTGGAGATAGTGAGGTTGGCACAGGATAGAGCAGGGTTTAGGGCTGTTGTACATAGCGTCGCTATGAGTCACAGGAGACTCGGTAGCACCTAAAAACAACATATTCCTCCTAAACAGTTCTCTCTCTCATCTGTTTCAATGCAGTATACCATCTCTTATTTAACCCCTCTCAGCTTCAACCCAACCATGATGTCAGTCCCACTTTACAAGAGTGGTATTATCTGTCCTTTTGTGATTAAGATATTTCACTCAGCATAATGTCCTCCAGGGTACCCATTTTGCATAATATTTCATGAGTTCCTTGTTTTTCAATGCAGCATAGTATTCCATTGTGTGAATATACCACAGCTTTTCTATCCATTCATTTGCTGATGGGCACTTGCATTGTTTCCAACTGTTTGCTATTGTGAACAAAGCTGCAATATACATGCAAATATCTGCTTTGGGGGCAGTTCTGGTTTCTTTAGGGTATATTCCCAATAGTGGAACTGCTGGGTCAAATGGTATTTCTATATGCTACTTTTTGAGAAAGCGCCGTAACTGTTTTCACCATGGTCTTGGTTTTTTATGAACACATTTGTTTGTAGATCTGAAAATGGGATATGGGTGCACAGGGCCATGAGTGTCTCTTTGAAACGGCCAGGAGAGAGAATAGCACAGCCCATCACCACCCCAGAGCAGAAAGCAGATAAATAGTCCATAGCCCAACTCCATGATGCCTCTAGAGATACACTAGCAGCAAGAGATTCATTTATTCATTGTAGACTCACAGTTATGTTACCAAGAATGAGGCTTATTAGGGAAGTAACTTAAAGAGTGGGATATGCAGAGTATCTCACAACACAAGTCCAGGCTAAGTCTAGCAGTCCCAAGACATAAATAATTCCTCAGTTAGTCCAGGCTCTGTTCTAGTTTGACATTCAAATCCAAATCATCCAACAAGCTTTGCCTCAGAGAAGTTATAAGTCAATTTCTCCTTCAAGCATCCGGCAAAAATAGCAAAAACCTTTAACTGTAGTTTTTATCTTATGGCTCCTCTGCTTACATCTTGCCACAATTTTTCCACAGCAATGCCATAGTTTCTCCACCACCATCACAAGGGCCACACCACCAAGGTCTTACTTTCAACAGGGTCTTGTTTCAGTCTCCCTCAAATAGTGTCCACTGCAACTCTAGTTCTTCAGTATGGGAAGCCCTCTTACACTTACACAGTATCACAGCTGTTGATAATTTACAAAACCATGTATCTGCAGTTAAAGTAGCTGGAGATCAGAGGGGGGTTAAGACAATAGCTAAAAATAGCCAGCTTTTTGGCTAATATTGCAGTGTGTTTTCTTTGTAAATAGAGTAAACTCTCAGACTCTACATAGTTCTTAAGACATTTTTATGAACATGTTTCCTAAGCCATTTTTTTTAATTTTTTTTTTATTATTTTGTGTGTCTGTGTACCATCAAATCAGATCTGAGTGGTACAGGAGGAGATTGTCCCTCCTTTCCCGGCAGAGCATCTCGTGGATTCGAACCATGCACCTCTGGGATTGCAGTGCAGCTTCTTGCCACTAGGCCACCAGAGCTCCCCACCTAAGCCATTTTTGAAACATAAAATTTGACACATGTACATGCCTAACCCTTGGTCTGTTAATCAATTGAGACAGACTTAAGTGCTTAATCCCTAACATGAATTTTATCCACCTTCATTTGACAATCTCTTCTGTTATCATCAATACAACAAGGCTCCTCAGAGAGGAAGTAAGGTATCATTCTCCATAAAGAGTTTATCTTTAGGGTGAAAAAATTATGAGGGATATGTGTAAAGAAATGAAGGTAGCCATTTGAAAAATAGCCCTGCAAAAAGCACATGCAGCCAGACGATCCATCAGAAAAGAGAAGGTGGACTAGGAAAGCCCTTGACCTTCCAAAGTCCAGGTCTGAAAATGCAGCAGTATACTGTCACCCTCCACAATCATCTGAAAAGTGGAAACACCAGCCTTAGATCAAACCAGAACAAAAATGGACATGCTCCACGGACTGTTTGGACAGGTACATGTGACAACATGTCCTAGGTACACTCAGCAGGCAAGTTAAAAGAAGAATCCTAGAACATATCCAACTGAATATAAAGCAGACATAATTTGCAAAAAGATAAAGGAAATGGCCTTTAGTTGCAGCATTTGGAAGGCTGGCCAGGGAAAACAATAACTAAGAAGGATAATAAACCTCCGTACTTTGGTCAGAAATTTGTCATAACCTTAGATCTGGGACAGATTTTAATTGGCTGAAATGAGCACTATGCCCTGCTGAAAGCCTCAGACACTCAGAGAGGGACCTCTCATGTGTTTTAAAAGGGAAAAATATGAAGGAAAATAACATACAGAACTCACCCAATAGTCGGGCTGATGTTGTGGTCAAAGTGATCCTGGACAAATCGGCACACGATGCTTGATTTCCCAACCCCAGTGTCCTGGAAAGGAATGAGGATACAGCCATGAGGCCTGAGGAGGGCAAATTCAGATGCAAAGCAAACAAGAAGCATAATGAGAGAGGTTTTCTGATTGGAGAACTGAGGGGAAGAGAGAAAGGGTACTACTGCCTTCTGTTTTTTAGCATTTTGTATAATGAAGTCACATTGACTTCATAGGAATAAAAAACACATGATAAAAATACAGGAACATGGCCCACATAAACACAGCAAACTAGACCAGCATGTTTATGAGACATATATTGCCAGAAATTTGAACATTTTTGCAACATGGTAATACACATTGTTTTGATAGAATAATTTTTTTCAAAACTCAAGCACTAAAAAAAGAAAATGTTTCTCTAAGTATACCCTATACAACAATGAATTCTAGTTTCTACATTTCTAACATTTCTCTTTAGGATCTGATAACCATATAATCTCCAATTCTGCCTATTTATGGAAAGGTCTCATCTCCAAACTTTCACTACAAATTAACTCTTTAAAGTAGATTAAAAGATAAGTCCAAGTATACATTGGAAATGGCACACAGAAGCTAAAATCCACCCCTTTTCAAAACTTTGTAAAATCATTTTAAAAACAAAGACATAAATTTGTTAGATGAAGGAAACAGGCAGGTAACTTGCACCAGATGAGACATATCAACAAATTCAGAGGATTAAAAGCAGACTAACAGGGAAAAGCTGACACTTCAGGGTCTGAAAGGAGAGACAAGGAGAAGCTGGTAGGTTTGAGTTACAGACAGTGAGAGGACAGGAAAAGCTGGAGGGCAAGGGCAGAAGCAGGTGAGATGACAGGCTGCACAAAATCATCATCCTGGACTCTGTGCCCCATCACTGGCAGACAGGAACATGACTCTGGGAAACCTGCATCAGAGGAGACCAGCAGTGCTTGGGGCCCTTCAGGCACAGCCTGGAGGGGTATAGAGCAATCCTCAAGACAAATCATCCGAAGTCAAAATACCTACACGTGTGGATCATGCCAGCCCTTTCTTCTGGTACCTCTCAGTTTATATTACCCTGGTCTCCAATGAAGATCCTGGCATTTGGGACCCACCAGCTGTAGGCCACGTGTACAATGCTAGCAAAGCCTGTCCACAAAGAGCTCCAAGTCTGCTTAATAGTCTGAGTTAAAGGGTACTAAGTATTTGTATTGTAAAAGAGTGTTCACAGAACGAGATGTATCTCAGAAATTAAAAACATCAGTGGTAGAGACGAAATAAGTCAGGAAATAACCCACAAAATAGACTAGTACAGTTGTCAACATCTTCTGAGAGAGATGGCAAGGCAGGTAGAAGGAGTGGTCACCAAAGGTCATCGTCACGACAAAGGTCACACTGCCAGGCTCTTATGAGGAAGGATCACAGGGACATGGTATGTTGAGGCCTCAAAGTGAAGGACACTAGATATATTTAGCCCAGTTTCTTTCTCAGAGATGTTAGGGGTTTTATCCCCAACACTGACATGTAACACCAATTGATTTTCAATCTTAATTGTTTGTGTGTATGTACACAGTTGTGTGTGCGTGTGGGGGGATAGAGGACACAACACAATTACAGCCAATCTGGGGCTCTGCCTGGGCTCTGAAGTCACAAGGAAGGACAGTGTCCACTGCTGCATATCTGCAGTGTACAAATTGCTGCCCATGACAACAGAATGAAAACAACAGCCGCTAAGATTCCAAATCAAAGCTGCTGCTACTTCTGAGCAGTGTCGCAGTCTACGGTCCAGCTAATGTTCCTTCACAGTACCCACAATCCCAAGCACAACTCGGGTTTTCCACTCTTGGCTGCTCATAAAATCCTTTGTAAATGGCTAGGTCCTTACCATACAATACCACAGAAATTCAAAACAACTGCTGAAGATAAAAATATCTCTGCTGTGCCACCCATGTTTATTGCAGCTTTGTTCACAATAGCAAGGAGTTGGAAACAACCTAGGAGCCCATCAACAAACGAATGGATAGAGAAGCTGTGGTATATTCACACAGTGGAATACTATGCTGCACTGAAAAACAAGGAACTCATGCAATATTATTCAAAATGGTTGACTCTAGAGAACATTATGCTGAGTGAAATATCCCAGTCACAAAAGGACAAATATTGTGTGGTGCCACTGTTGTAAAACAGGACTGACCTGGGGTTGGGAAGAGACTGAGTAAGATGAGTTCAATAATGTATATTGCACTGAAACAGAGGAGGGAGAAAACTGTTTAAAAGAGATATGTGATTAGGTATTTCTGTCATGACAGGAGTCTAGAGCACTGGCTACATGGCGGAGTGGACCTGGGGGAGGGTTTGTAAAACAGTGAAGGGAATTTTTCTTTTACTTTTCCAAGAGGGTAGTGTTCTGGGAGGAGCCTTGGGAGGGGAGAAATGTGCAACAATGAATGAGTGGAAATCCAAAGCCTCTGTAAATTTTTACTGAAATTAATAACAAATTTAAATTAAAAAAAATTAAGTTAGAGTAAGGATGGCAATGGATTTATAACTGCTCATGCTAATAACACTATATTGTGCCATGGAGGAGGAATAGTGTAACTGTATCCACATTTACAATATTCTTCTTACCAAAACCACTTATGGAAAATAAGAACTGCATTGGAACAAGTATCTGTGGATTGGAAATGATCATATTGTTAATATTTCCAGCCTTAAGCTTAAAAGACTATAATGTTCAAAATTATTTGTTATACATTTGCTTACATTTTTCCCTCTTTTAACAACTGGGATCTAGAGGGAAGAGAAAAGACCAGAGAATGGCCAAAATTATTGGGGCAGCTATTGCTGCCAGTTTAGGGCCTGTGTCAGGAAAAGGAAGTCTTACTCATATACAGTGCCACCCAAAGGTAATAAGGGAGGTCAGAATTGCTTCCACTGTGGAAAGCTGGGCCACTACAGTAGACAGTGTCACAGACGAGAGCCACAGATAGGCAAGGGAGTAGAGAGGAAGCTCCCACTCACTTGCTTTAAGTGTGAATCTGAAGGACACTTGACCAAGGGTGGCCCACATCAGGTCCTCGTGGCTGACAGGACTGACAGGTCCCTGCTCCCAGTTGGAAACAAAGGAGGTTGCTTCTATGATTTAGATCCTCCCAGCAGAGATGTGGGTGAGCATTAACATTACTGGTAAGTATATCCGTTTTCTCCTGGACACAAGAACCTACTATTTGGTCCTAAAACCATTCTGAGGTCCCAACTCTTCTCACTATTTATTAGTGGTTGGAATTGATGGAAAACCTCATAAGCATTTCCTTACTTCACCTCTGCCTTGCATGAGGACTTCTGAGTTGTAAAACAACACAGTGGTAGATGGAATTTGGTCCAGGACTTAAGACCAATAAATGACATAGTTGAGCCTCTACATTTTGTGGTTCCTAACCTTTATACTATAATAGACAAAGTGCTAGTCTATAGGCCTTCTATTGTAAGAACTACCTTCCTTCTGTAACTTGATTTGTGCCACTATTAGAGCCTCTACTTGGAATATTATTGCTTTTTAATTTTTTACTCATGTATGTTTAACTTGTTAGTTAAATTTGTGTCTTCTAGGCTGCAATACTTCCATGATATATCTTCAAGGATATGAACATGTACAGCTAAGCACAATTGATAACAGTGCATCTAAATTCCAAAATCAATCTCCATAACAGTCTATGTGTTTCCTATTGCCAAAGGGGCCCTTTAGAGTAGTGAGAGAAGATCTTCACCCTGAAACCTACAGCATCCCTTTTCAGCAGGAAATAGCTAAGAGAATAAGCCGTCCCCTTTTCCTTATGAATCAGGGTGAAGTCTCTCTCAGGGAGGAGTGATTGGGAATGGCAAAAGACACACTGACAAAGGAGATTAATCAGAACTGGCTTTGACAAGCACTGTGGCAACTGGACAATTAAAATAAACTTTCAAGGGGGAAAAAAAAGAGGAACGAACTGGGGAGGAGGGTAGAGAAAATAGTGCAACAATAAATGAATGGAAACCCAAAATCTCTATAAGTGTTCATTAAAATTAATAAAATTTAATTAAAAAAAATCTCTGCTGGAAGTACTCTATCCCAAGGAGGGCTGTGCTTTACAAGCTATAGAGTGGGCAGGATGGATCTCTCCACCACAGACCATAGTGGCTTTTTTTTTCTGTTTTGTCATAGGTGTATAGGTCCCCCTGACTCCACCACAAAACTCTGAAATGCATTCTTCATGAGAAAAGCTGGTTACCACCTGCCCTGTTTGTCTAGCAAAGACAGGTGAGCTGTGCCAGCTTCTACTTCCATGAGTCCTTCTCCTTCCCTCCAGGTCCTGCTTCTTGGTCATGGTTTGGGAATTTTCCTTCTCAGGGTCCAGGCACTCACTCAGTCTTCATTTATCCAACAAGTGCACTGGCCTTTATGGACTGAAGCAGTTACCTGCTGAGGAGGTGATGGGCACCAAGAAGAGGTAAGACCAGTCACACAGAGGCCAGGGATCACCCCAGAGTCCGGGGGCCAATTGTTACTATTGCCTCCCAAGATTTGGTCCTACTTTGCTCCTCTTGGTATCTTCAGTTTACACATTGTCTCTTCCTGTTGCCAAGTTCTGAACTCCATTTCTCTGCAATGCTACAGCTTGCCCAGTGTAAGGGGGCATCCTCTTCACAGTTCAAGGCCACTCTCACTCAGTCCCCGTGGGTGGGATGTTTGACAATACAGGGGCTGCTCTATCTTGGAAGCACGATCCTGTTATCTCTCCATCTACTCTCCCCAAGGACACTGCTCAGAACAATCGACCCTGAATCCCCAAAGCACCCAACAAAGTCTGGAATGAAGCACTCAAAATGCTCTTGAAAATGAGAATTACAAAGCCAAGGTGATATTATCCAGTGCTTCTTACTGTATTCTAGGAAAGATTCATGCTGATATACTGGCTTTTCTGAACAGTTAACGCAGCAAGGCCTATGAAAATGCAGATTTAGTTCTTCAACCAAATACATTCAGGGTTTTTCTCCCCCCACCCTCCAAACATTTTTTCTCTTTTATACATTTG